TAGCCACCTTTTGAAAAGGTTCTAGGTGTGTTTTTTTCTGTACATTTGTTGATGTTGGTCTGAAACTCATCATAAAACAATCTGGGGTCTACAGGAAAATACCTTTTTTAAAAGCATCACCGATGACACTTTGTTTTGTATCTAGATCTAGTTCAGAACACTGAACCATCTTTTAGTTTTTCCAGCTTTGGTAGGGGAAATCTTTGATTTGGGGAGTAATATACCCTTAGCAACCGGAAGTGTTATAATATTGTTTGGGTTTTGGAGAAGGAGTCATCCGAAGCTCGGAGCAAGGCTTTACTGGGAGATGCCTCACCGAGTTGGTCTGCTGGCACTGCTGTGAATATATTATGCCTATGAATTCAAGCTGTCTTGAAGTGATATAGATCTATGTTTCAAATGGATGGGCTTTTATTTTTGTCCGAGTAACTAAACTGTGGCTTCAGTTGCAGTTCTTTCGATTGATTCCTAAAAATGAAATGGATGGATGCCCAAAAAGTCGCCAGTCCGAGTTCTTGTCAGTAGGACCTTATCAAGGAGGAGCAGAGTGACCAGAGATTTGTCTGTTGCATGGACTTCGTTGTTTTTTTTTAAACGTGATGTCAGAAGCTGGATAAACATTTCTTGAAACTTCTGACATTCCTCTTTTTATTTGTGTCAAAGTAAGCTGCCCTTCTGGTGACACTGCTCAGTAGTATTGCCTGCTGGTGGACTAAAAGTATGACATGAGTGATAGATCTAGAATCTAGTGTTGATAGTGTATTCTGTTTCGTGGAGACTTTGCTCCTGTAATAGTAATTGCATTTGTATGGTGTGGTTTTTCACTCAACCTATTTGTCTTTAAAACCCGGAACTACTGGCTTGAGAGGAAAATGTCGTCAGCACCGGCCTCAAAGCCTCTTCATCCGATTATAGTTAAGATTTACAAGGCTATTGATGCCATTCAAATATATTTTGTTGAAATAGCTCTGTTTTTCTTTTTCCTTAATCGACACATGTCCTTGCCTCTTTTTCAAGAGTATGTTGAGTCTGAAATTTACTCGCAGCATGGTGTGCCGTTTGCTGGTTTTGATGATTTAAAAAACAAGAGCTTGTCAGACCCAGAGAGGGATGAAGCTCATCACGAAAGTGTCCTGGTTGTTCTTGGGTTACAAATAGCAGAGGGTCTGCCATCAATTGTGACTGTTATTATTTTGGGAGCTGTCAGTGATAAAACTGGTAGACACAGAATTTTGTTGTGGCTTCCTGCTTTAGGATGCTGTGTGCATTCCTTGATTTACATCCTGATTTTGTACACACAATGGAATATTGATGGACTGTTCCTGGCTGCTGCTTTCAGAGGTCTGAGTGGGAGTATGACAGGATTTCTGGCAGGATCGTCTTATTATGCAATCAACTATGTTAAACCTGAGCAAAGGCTCAATCGTCTTGCCATGCAGGAATTTCTGAATGGTGGTGCATATGCCATTGGAAATATCATGGTTGGCTTTTGGGTAAAAGATGGCGGGTTTCTGAAACCATTTTGGTTTACCCTGATCTGTGGCCTCATTGCTGTATTGATATCATTCTTTCTAGTGAAGGAAACGAAATCAGACCAAGAAAATCAAAGCTCAAGTCCATTGTTGAGGAGACAAAGTGCTGATAACTGCTGCAAAGATACATTTGGACCTCTTGTCAAGTACCTGAAATGCATTGGAAATTCAACTCTGACTAAAATTTGGCTGGCGATCGTAGTGTTCCAAGCATATGCTTTTGTCCATATTGGTCAGATTAATACAATGGTCTTGTATTTGAGTCAGCAACATTTTCTGTTTGGTTCAGAAAATCCAGTCACAGGAGAAGGTCCTCTGGCAAAGATTGGTCTCTTTCTTGCTGTCATTATGGCTGTTGCTGCTTTAGCCACAGGTCTTTGCACACCAATATTTCAAAAGTTCCTGTCGGATAACAGCATCGTATTTCTTGGATTTGCTTCAAAGGCTCTTGGTACATTGTGGATAGCTGTGATCAGGAATGAAACGCTTTTATATTTTGGTAAGTTTGTTCAGCATGTCATTTCTGACTTTCTTGTTTTAAATTGTGTATTACAAAACGAAGTGGCTATGCGTACGGCTCCTGTACACACCTCGTGGCTTTGCGTATGGCCCTCCCGTACGCAAAGCATCGAGGCTATGTGTACGGCCCTCCACTTCAATATAATAAGCTAGGCTTTGTAGGCGGCACTTAAACTATCGAATCAGACACTACAAGTGGACAAACTTAATCCCTGGAAGCACGTGTAGGCTCTTTATAAAGGGCGTGAGCCGGGCTACCCGGGAAGTGTGCAGGCCCTATATATAGGGATGACCAACTTCGATTGGGAAGCACGCAGCTATAAAGGGCAGGCGCTGACCTTTTTTCAATGGAAAATTTTAGCATTCCTTTCTATGGAAAATAAAGTAGTAAATACAGGTCAAAGTTATAAATTGTGAATAATGAACTAATGACTTTGCAAGTTATCTTGACCTCGTAGAGCGTCTCTTGGCCAAAGTTCGTACATAGTATAGAAAAATAGTTCACTCTGCCAAAAAGGTGTCCGCGGAAGCCCGCACATTGGTTCAGATGACGCTGCAGTCTTTGTTTTGAAGCTCTCTTTCGTTTCACCAGAAGAAGAATAGAATTAGCACAGTTTGTTAGTTTCACTTTTATTATATATATTTTTACACAAGTAAGGTAACTCTGATCGCAAAGTCCGCACTTTTTCGAAGAGGGTGCCACCGAATATTGAGGACACTTTTTTATTTGGCTCAGTTATAGAGGAGTTAACTTCTTGTTACACAATCTTTGTCTTGGCCAAGATATCGATCGATAAAGTGACGCGGTCCAGCTGAGCGATTATCAAGGCCGTGAGTATAAATTAGTACTGTTGTACTGTGCTGGATGATGTTGAGGTGCGAACTAAAAGACAAAGTACTTTTTAAAAGTTATATGAAATTGCTTTTAAAAAGATTTTAAATTCTATTGTTGTACTAGCTGCAAACTGCAAATAAAGTAATCTAAAAATTGATTATTAATAAAAAATAATATAATGAAATTTAGAGCTTAAAAATTTGTTACACTTATTTTTTTTATAAGAAGTCCTGAAATAACGAGATTTCTGTATAAAGACACTATTCTTAATTAAACCCCGTTTTTTTCCTTTTTCTTTGTAAATAAAATACTGCTATATTATTATTTTTATTATAGAGCGCAATCAGACAAATGCAGGAGTCGGTTATAGCGGAATACAGTAGAATCCTGATAATACGAGAGGGAGGGGACCGGTGCAAAATGTCCGTTATAGCCGGATTCTCGTTATCAGAGCTGGTAGTAACTTAAAGTAAACGTTACAATTATCGGTACTTTTACTGTACTCTGGTACATTTTTGAAACCAGTACTTTTACTGTACTCCGATACTTTTTATAAAAGTACTTTTGAGTACTTTTAAAGTACATTTTCAGTACTTTTGAAGCTTAATGAAAGGGTAAGGGCTGGCTTTTCTCAGAATTTCTGTTCATAATTTACGGAACAAACACCCGGGCGGGCACAGCTGATCAATTTGAGATCAAAGAACGGCCCGTCGCGTCAAAGATCAGCCACTATCGTGAATGTGATCACAAGCGCTGTACATAAAACTCCATGAAACGGTACAGTGTTTGCTCCAGACAGGATCACACCAAGGTGTGAACTGACTGGTGCGTTTCTTTTCCCCAAACATCGTACTCGCATCTGAGTTCAACACCTAAACTTACATCACTCACTTGGTGGGTAGGGTCTACACGTTCGCTCCAGGCGGGGTCACATCAAACTGTGAACTCTTCCCTGATCATTGAAAGCGGTTTTTCTCTATTCCGGAATTTGCGAGACAACCAGAATTTTAATTGGTGTGGTCACAACGTAAGTAAAGGCAATGGGGGGTGGGGGGGGGGGGGCTCAATCAGAGATGGAAAGCTAAAATTGTTGGACAGGTGAAGGGGAGGGGCAACTGGATTAACGTAGTGATACAGATCTCAAGACTCACAATAGGCTAATGAGTGTGTGTATATATTATATTATTTATGGCATGCCTCATGCCACTGTGATTGGTCATCAAGGTTGACCACTATTTGCTCGCCATATATGTCATAAGTCCACCCAGGGGTCACGTCACGTCAGTTCATGGGTCACTGTAGATTCTTCTGTGGCTTCGTCGGCTGAGATCCCATTTTTTCTTGCTTCTGAGCACTGGGGTCTGAGGCGGAGACTACTGTAGTAGAGAATCTTTGGTTACACTACACTTACTAGACTCTAGGAAACTATTGTATTTTGGTTTGCTGTGGGCGCCGTGGACTACACAGTGTGACCAAAATCTGTCTTATCTCTATAATCAATTGAAACTGAAACTGTGTTCTCAGTGTATATCTAACAATTTTTTAGACTTCCTAAATTTCTTTTAAACTTTTTTTTGGGTGGTTTTTGCTTAAGGCTACATTCATTCCTTGAGGATTTGTTAATGAAGAATTCAATGCACTTTTACATAAATTTCTATGCTGGCCATTTTCATCAATTTTAAGTTTTCTAAAGAGCAACTTTGTATCTACATTTTCCAATTTGGATACTTTTTCTGTAGAACTTTCCGACCTTTTGGACTGACTTACATTTGATCACATTGTCTTGCTCAAACATTTTCTATTCATAATATCACTTACCCACTTGTTACGTCTGTTTGTTTGGGTTTTTTTTTTTCAATTTCACGGACCATTTCCACCTTCGTTCAGTGCGTACCTTGTATATTCAATTAATGCTTTGTATACTGTTTACATTTTTAGTAATAAATAGCCTAATTTGTCAAATATACTGATATGTTATGATGTTTTGCATAAGCGCTGAAGTGTTTTAGCATATTAGCAGAAAGTACTCAAAATGTACTCATAAGTACTTTTTTTTAGAAGTACTTGTAATCAAGTACATTTTACAGGAAAGTACTTTTACTGTACTTAAGTACATTTTTTAGATTGTACTTAAATTTGTACTTAAGTACTTTTTTAAAAGTACTTTAACAGCTCTGCTCGTTATAAGGGATTCAGTAATTAATTCAGGGGAAATAATAAAGTAGGCCTAATCTATGAGTTTGGTGTTCTGTTCGTTATCTCCCCTGGTGATGATTTGGTTCAACATGACCTCTTGGTCTTTATCAAAAACTGAATCAGGTCTCTTTCTGTAGCACTAGTGCTGCGATGTTGACAGCTCGGCTTTGGCAATCAGAAAGAAAGGGCTCTAGACTAACTCGCCCGCGGTGTTGTCCCCCACCCCACCACACCCTGTGGTGCGTTCTGTCTGCTTGCGCTCGTCACACATTCACTACGTCCATCACAGCACTGTGACCTCTCCATCCCCGCATCGAAGAAGTAGTGAGAGGCATGGTAGCTTAGATAATCTAGACTACGCTGGCCTATCATGCGATGAGTTCTGCATTCTGCCTGTCTGTGCATACCACACCTTCCCCACTCATTCGCTTTGGCCTTCATTGTTGGCACACGTAGGCTCCCCCACTCTTTGTTTTGCTATATCACCAACAAGTTTCTCAACTGGCGAGGTTTTACTTGTGTATAAAAAACAACCTATGCGCTATGCACAGCAGCAGCAATATGCCGCTATAACCGACTCACGTGTTTGTCGGATTATGCTATGGCAGTATTTTATTTACAAAGATAAAGAAAGGATAAAACAGGATTTCAGAAGTGTCTTTATAACAGACTTCTAGCGAAACAATGAATGGGAGAGCCCACGTGTGCCAACAATGAAGGCCGGAGCGAATGAGTGGGGAAGATGTGGCATGCGCAGACAAGCAGAACGCATTGCGTGATAGGCCATCTTTGATTATTTAGGCCTACCATGCCTCTCACTTCTCCGATGCAGGGATGGAGAGGTCACAGTCCTGTGATGGATGGAGCGAATGTGTGACATGAGCAAGCAGATGGAACGCACCACAGGGTGTGATGGGGTGGGGGGACAACGCAGCGGGCGAGTAAAGTAATCCTAGAGCCCTTTCCTTCTTATCGCCAACGCTGAGCTGTCAACATCGCTAATACGAGAGAAAGAAACCTGATTCAATTTTTGATCAAGTAATACCAAGAGATTTTGTTAAACAAAATTATTATCAGCAGAGATTTACAAAAAGAAATAAACAGAACACCAAACTCATAGTTTAGGCCTACTTTATTATTCCCCTTGAATGTAATCCTGGATCCCTTATCACAAGAATCTTGAGCACTATAACAGACATTTCACACCAGTCACCTCCCTCTCGTTATACAGGATTCCACTGTACCAGGTTATTCATGGCTTTTACAGTGAAAATACAGAGTGTCTAATTATTATTAAGAGAATACATGTCATTGGTGTTGTGTGTTATTCGCCCAACCAGTAAAATGTTGTTTTTCCTAGAGACACCAGAAATGTTTGGGACCTTCTGATTTTTATGTACTCATCATTACATGTAGCCACTAACAGATCAGTTGATAAGAAGGAAAGTTGTGGGGATTTAAGTCAATTTCGTATGCCTTACTTTTTACTGAATCACATTGCTATTTTTTCCCTGTTGCAGCAATTCTTCTCCTGGCCTTCGAGCTCTTGCCATTCCCAATTCTCAGAGCCAAAGTGGCAAAACATGTGAGACCTTCTGAGCAAGGTAAGTAGATTTGCAGTAACTTGGTGTCATGAATTTGCTGCTAAAAAGCCATTTTTGTGTGCAATCTTAAGTTTAAAAAGAGAATAATACAGAGAGGTCTTGTGTAAGGGATGTGGGAGAGATCTATTGTGGGTGTTGTTATATTGGGGAAATTATCATTTGATTTCAAAACATGTGGAATGTAAACAAGACCGTCTTTTACAGCCTGCATTGTAATTTAAGGGAACAAAAAAGATTTTTGACTTTATCAAGTAGACAGTGAAAATTAATTTATTTTGATTCAGTAACGTTGCAAAGTTGTTGCCACTCTTTCAAACAGTGAGTAATTTTTAAAATATTTTGCTGACTGTCAAGATAAGTTTGGTCATCAGGGACGGCCTATTGATTGCAAATCTTAGTCCTGACTCGCTGTCACTCACATCGACCCCCTGTCTCAACCCCCCCCCCCACCCCCTCTTCATATCCCCCCCCACACACAACACATGTACACAATAAATACACAATGGTGAAATTGTGAAATGGTATGGGTTTAACGCTCCTATCACAACATGCATACATAAAGACACGGTTTATACTTTTCATCTTCGCTGTCTTCTCTCTCCCCTCCACACCCCCCCCCCCCCCCACCCTTCAAACTACCAATATTCAAGCTCATGTAGAGTTTTTTTGAGCATGTGGTCCTCTTTCACTGAAAATAAGTTCTGTTCATGTTGTTATCTCCATTTCCTTTTTTTGTTTCAGGCACAGTGTTTGCTATGATGCACTGCGGTGAGAGTATCACATACTTCCTTGCTCCGTTCACATTTTCTGGAATTTATGCATCCACTATGTCCTTCTACAGTGGCTTTGTACTGATTGTTTCGATGCTGATACTGATCCTACCTGTTGTATTCTTATTGTACGTATAAAGAAAATTTTGTTTTGATGTGATAAACCATTTTCAAGTTGCAGTTATATTTATCATGTTAGAGGTTGATAATTGCTTGACTATTTGTCACAAATGCAAGATCATATTACCTCTTTATCTCCAAGGGGGGTAAACCCACTATGCCGGGGCCGTTTTTTTGGTGCTTTATTTAAAAATAACAAAAACGTCATTAAATGGGTCATCAAATCGAAACTAGCAATCCTATTTTGATAATTCTTCATCTAATGAATGAATGAACTTCCGGTAAAAGAGACCTGTTTTCAGCAATTGCCGAAAAGTAATTTGATGTCGAAGTGGTCGTAAAGGAATGAACTCGATCCGCACCGGCATGGCGGTTCCGACCGCAAGCTGCTGGGAGCAGCTTGGCGGAGATAAAGAGTTAACAGAGCTGCCTAAATCTACTGATTTTTCGGTAGTTACCTATTTTGGACCTGTTCTGCCGCCATACTGATAAAAGTGTCAAAACTACCGGATTTGTGATGTGGTCCGTTCTCTAGTGCTTCGTTTCAAATCTTTCAGTGTTTTTACGGAAACCCGTACATTCTGAAAGATCCATACTTGCTTCATCATAAAAAATGCATATATGTTTAATTAAGAAGAAAAAGAGAGAGAGAGATAAAGAGATAGTATAGGATCAGTATTCCGTAGCAAAGAATCCGAATTTGCCTCACTAACTTCTCGGATATTTACAGTGATTCTCGGCAATAAGTTGTGTAAGAAACCTTACACATTGCGCATTTTGTCCTTTTTTATGCTCGACTATTGTCCCTCTGTGAATCTATGGCGGGTCGGTCGGTCGGTCGGTAAAACATTTTCGCTTGCAAATCGGCTAAAATCTGGTTAGTTACAACATCTTATCTTCCTCCTTCCTTTCATACTTTCATTCTCATTCTGTCTATTTTCGGGATTTTGCCGTGGCTAAAAAATCTGTGTGTCTATCAAGGAATCTGAATGGTGAATGTAAAAAGAATGTACTGTGGAACTCGGATTCAACGAGGTGGCCGGGCCTGACCTAAAATCTCGTTGAATCCGAGTGTTCGTTATAGCAAACACAAGGTTTTGTGTAGAACATTACAGGCACTGAGCAAGTAATGTATAAAGAGAAGTCACAAGTAGTGCCTGAAATGCCTGCATATTATAAGCTGTGTAATAAAAAAGACAGATTCGTTCAAATGCACACGCCTGTGTCTTCTCGGCTGTTAGCCAAAAAGTTGTGTTGCTGTGTAGAGCCTAGCCTAGCATACGTCAACTTTTGATTCCATAGACCAGCACACAATTCATTACGTATCTACGTCAAGACTAGCTTTTATCATTGTAATAGTGATCTGTTGCCGAGGGGAAAAAAGACTGACGTGTTTGTATCCCCTCCCCGACACGCACACACAGCCACACATGTGCAGGCTGCGCATCCGACCCCGACACAGGTCAGAGTAGACAAGTGTGCGTGCCAACAACACTTGTATTAGTATGAAAAAAGGCCGCTGATTGGTCGCATGCAATCGGCTAAGTGAATAATGGTTCACGATGCAGGTGCAATGGATGGTTTTCGGGAATAGAAAGAGTTCGTTGTGGGAGAAAAATGAGCGAAGCCACGTCTGCGGGGGCTGTTCACCCTGGAAGTGACCTCGTTGAATCTGAGCTTGCTGATAAGTGGTGGTTGAATCCGGGTTATTTTTATTGATTTTAAAGAAGAAAAAAAACGGGGAACCTTAACTCATCTCGTTGAATCCAAGTTCTCGTTGAATCCGAGCTCATTGAATCCGAGTTCCACTGTATCAGTATCAGAAAGAAACTTTTTCAAATCTATCTAGATCTAGAGAATTTAGAGTACAGAATTGGTGTGTCCTCAAGATGGATGTTCCGGGATCTGCGTAGTCTACTGTCAATGGTTCGATGGCAAATTAAATAGAGCTGTGGAAAATGCAATTTTCAACCCTCTAAAAGCTAAAATTTCCATTTCTTCCTAAGACTTTTGCTCTGCCTTTAGCCCAACTAGATCTATATTGTTTTTCCTGTGATAATTTGTGTTTCTTCATGCTTTTTAAAATCAGTGAAATCTGAAACCCAGACGTGGTTACACACTCAAATAAACACACGCACATGCATGCGCGCGTGCACACACGCACACAACATACACTCAAGTTTTAAAAACATAATTACCAAATAATATCATGAAAAGCAAGCTCCACTCGATGGTAACTACGTTTACTAGGGTAATGTTTGTCTTTTTTTTTTTTACCTTCTTTGTCTTTGTACTATCTGATTTTGGGCCTAAATACCTGAAATTGATTCTGAATTTACCTGAAATGGGAACTTTTACATAGGCTAGGCAGCCCTGTATTAAGTTGCCATGTTGAAAAGAAGTAGGAGTTGCTTTTTTGAGTGCTGTATTACATTATAAAATACAACTTAATGAAAGTATGTTAACATGATAAGCAACACAAGTGCTTTTTTGCTTTTTTCATACTTTGGTCGTTTCCTAGTATTTTGTCACTTCCTCAAGATAATTTTGTAAAGATCACATTAAGTCCTTGTTTCCTGAAAACTTTGAGTTACTTCCTAGTCAGTAACGTCTGAGGTTAAAAAATCCCCAAATAGACAAGATATATTTTTTATTCAAGTGAAAGGAAATTAAATTTGCAGCAAGTTTGTGTAATCTTTTTCAGTATGAATTCTTTCTTTTTAAAAATTTTATCAGAGTATCTTCCTCTTTTGCAGTGTCCTGAAGTTTGTGGAAAGGAGGTGTCCCGAGGAGTACCAACAAATGGAAGATGAGGCTGCTCCCGTGGAGCCAGTTGTGACCCCAGTCCTTACCAGTAACACCAGTCAAGAGGCACAGCAGAGTCAGTCTATGCTGCCAGAAGAACCAATAAGTTTTATCCAGCTTTCCTCTAATGGAGCAAATATTGAGGTCTAGATTCATTGCTAAGCGATGGTCTGAACGCATATATTCTTTTGTCTCCTTTGCTGTTATCAGGTCAGCTCAAGATGCTGCGCTTGTCTTGACAAGAATGCGTTGTTGCCAGGTGATGCTGGCCTTGTAATAAATCGTGAAGGGCATAAGTTTTTTTGTGTGTGGAAAAGTTGCTTTTATTTTTGTATTTATGGAGGTTACATGCATTATTAGACACAATGTAGATACTTTAAAAGTTGAGGAATAATGCAACAAGTTTGGGTTCCACGCATCTGAGGCGAATTGGAAAGTTTCTATCCAGGTGTCCCATTGGTCTTGGCTCAGGTTTTACAAAAAAATGAAGTCCATGTTTGGGAGATCAATGCTGAGCCTACAGTGTAGTGAAAAAAATAATGAAACTAAAGATAAGCCACTTTTATTTACGGTTTATCAAAATATTAATTCAACCAAGACACAGGCCCTAAGGAATTTTATGAACTAAAGAAACTTGTAAGTTTTGCTTTTGAATATTATTTATTCATAATATCTTTTTTGTACACTGTGAAGAAAAACAAAACAAAACAACCTGGGTGAGACTGCCATTTTGATTCAAGATAAACCCATTTTTTATTGCTGAATGGCCATTACTAATTATTTCATAAAATCAACCGAAATGCGTGTAATAGCCAAACAGGAGTAAAAAGGAAATGGAAGATTGACCAAACTTCACACTCAAGAGTTCATTACTATGAATTGCTCAGTAAGCTCTTTTTTATTGTGTGTATCTGACAGGATGTGGACGTTCAGCTTGTAATGTAGGTCACCTGGTGGTCTCAGTTGGGCTAAAATGTTACAGTTTTCTAGGGAAGGGTTTGGTTTATATGTTTTGGGGATCTTTATTTCTGTTAAACACTTTTTTGTATTTGGCTTAGTAATGGGCAGGTGTTAATTGATACTTTTATGTTCAGATCAGCTGTAGTTGTATTTATAAATATTGTTATCTTTCCATAAGTACTTACATGTTCCTTCAGATGCCTCAGTGTTTGTTTCATAAGTTTGCATGGATCAGCTGAGACAAAGTGCACAATAACATTTATCTCTTGCCAAATCGAGCGTTTTATGTTTATATGTCCTTCAGGAAAATTCTTTACTTGGTACAGCAAAAAGTATTGCACTCATTTTGTGAATTGTTGGTTTACGCAAAAGAAAATCTCTGTGATTAACATCTATTGTTCTTTGAATAAGACACTTTCTGCGGCTTCTTTTGTTTTGCATTTTTTGCTTTTTTCCGTTGAGATTAAAATTTTTTTTGACGAGTTAGTGAAATAGATTTCATCAGGTGTGATTTTTTTTTGATTTCATACTCCTCCTCTCCTCTTTTCAATTTTCTGCGAAATCATTCCATACCTTCTTACATTGTAAAAATCTCCCGATTTTGTTGATGGGTTGTCTTTTAAAAATTATTTTTAATAAGATTGAAATATCTAGAGGCATAATAGACTCCTGTGATGACTTCTAGGATTTTTTAAGTCCTCATAATTGTTCATGCTGAAGATCTGTTAATAATTTTGCTTACAAAAAGTGACCTAGGTGCTTCTATTTTTATGCCACCATTTTATTTGGCCTCTTTCTACTTTTAATCTCTTTTACCTTTAGGTTCTTTCCCCAGTCCCCCCCCCCCCCCCCCCCCACCTTATGACTTTTTTTTTGGTTTTGTATTTGTTGCTGCCTCAAAACTGCCCATTTGACCCTTGCCTACAAGTTTACAAGTTCAGTCTTGATCTGTGTTCAGCTTTCACCATGCAATAAGCTCAAAACACAGACATGGTTTTTGTATCGGTTTATTATGCTCTGATATTTAAAGGGATGTTCCTCCTGTGTTCTTTTCCTATATCTATGTGTTAATCTCTCCATGAATTTTGTGTATCTGTCTATCTATCTACTGGCCTCCCCATTGAAATTTACCGTACATGTTGTTTTTTCTTCAGCATTGCATGAAAGCCATTTTTTTTTTTTGGACTTTAAATTATGGATCAATTACTGAACTGTGTTCTAATATTCAACCTAAACGTGTCCCCATCTGTCTATATTGGTCTTACACAGTGTGTTCAAATAATTTGAGGTGGGTTATGTAGTTTACTCTCTGTCTTCACACTATGCACAACAGTATTAAAACATACCCATTTGAGTGATAAATAGTATCTCTTCATGTTTTCTGTTTTATTATTATAAAAGACTTCTTTTTTTTCAAATTTGGGTCCTTTGGGTATATTTTTTTAGGTTACCGATTCTTTTTGTTGAGAAGCTGCTTGGATAGGTTTTGTTTACAAGTATTACTTCAGTTGATATTCTTTATTTATTAAGTAGTATAAAACTAAGCAGGAAAGACTGCTCTTTTTGGAAAAATGCGGTGAATTCTGCAAGTACTGTAATCTATGAGACCTCCAGATTTTCTTTGGTTTAGGACTATCTATGTTTTCAGTTTACAGAGATTGCTCAAACAGCGATGATTGTTGACAGTGTAGAGTTGGGAAATTCAGTTACTGCAATTTGAGCTGCAGGCTGTATGCATTGTGCTTTGTCTTCAACATTGTCAGCTTGGTTAAGATGCTGAACAGTTACACAGAACAGATGAAAGAGTAGATCAGCACACTGTATTGCACACAGACACAGTATTGTACTGTACACTAGGCTAGAGATGTGAGAAAGCCCAGTGCCATTGGCATCATGAGACACACGACATGGTGTCAGAAGCTCATGTTTAGGGCCTATGTGAACTAGCTGAGCAGGAACAGTACTGAAGACCATGACCAATCGGAGGTCATGCAACAGACTTACATTTGCTACTCTTGTGTCACTAGGCTTTTAATACTCAGTGCTTAGGCCTATTGATGTATGTATGATAAATGTAGGCAAACAGTACTCAGGTGATGCTTCTCTCTGACCTGCAATAGACACTTGTACATTCTTGTGTCTCTTTTTTTTTTCTTTTTCATTATTATGAAGCATGTAATACCACATGATTTGCATTTTTTTAAGGGTTGCTAGTGAAGATCTTGTCAATTGTTTAAACCCAGACAATCAATTATATATCTTTTTTTACAGTGTGTGTGAATGAGGCTCTTGGAGTGTATTGTATTTTTATTGTTGACTGTATCACCCTATTTTATCCAGAAATTTTTGCTTGCATTTCACAATTTTCCTGTCACTATTCAGGAAAAAAAATAAATTCCTCAACAGTGTTTTGTTTTCTCCCGGGACAGTGTCAGGTGTTGTGTCGCTGCATCTGCGATATATTTGGTCTTAAATGTATATTAAGAATGTAAAGCATAACTTGGGATATCATTTCCATTAAACGTTTATGACAATGATATGTTCATTAAGACTACTTAAAACTATTGTAGGATCAAATAGAAATTGAGGAACTTTTCCTCAGAGACAAGGGCAAAACGCCTGATATCTGTGTCAGAGAGTGCTAAGCGTCACCTCCCAGATTTTCATTTTATGTTTATTTTGTCTTGAAATGTTCATGTTTGTTAACACAGGTCTGTGGAGTTGCATATTTATGTATTCAGTCAGAGACAGTGCTTACTATTTACCTGACTTTTTCTGTTTTCCTGTACCCCCCCAAGGACCTTCTGGAGGCGCTATGTTCTTAAAGATAAAAGTTTTGAAACAGCTGAGCACAGGAAATTTTCATATTAGCCTCTATTTTTTTTTTATTGTAGCCCTGGGTTGTTGCTTGAGATGTCATTCCACTCCTTTGTAGATATTGTACTGTTTTTGTTGTTCAAACCATGTATTTTGAAAACTTTAGAAGAAGATTACAGTAAAGTGTTCTAATTTCTAATATTTCAACTCCATACTTGCTCCAAATTCCAGCATGTATATGGTTTTGTTATGTACAAAACAATGTATGTTCTATTGGTAGCTCGAAATTCCTCTTTGTGTTGTTTCTATTTGGAAATGATCTAGTATCACTGTTAAAGGAAATTCAGAATGAAGACTTTTTAATATTGACCTATTGGCTGATTATGGTGGGAACTTACTTTATCAATCTCTATTGTCAGCTCGTGTATCTGTATTAGACAGCATGAATCCTGTAAAATATAGTTAGTTATTTAGATTGTATCTGCTCAACTTTACTTCATTTGTCACTGAGCAAAAAGAAAGGACATTGTTTTTCAAATACTTTTTTCTGTTATGTTTATTAAGTTTGTTTGTATTTACATACTCTGCAAATTTGCTAGTCTTGTTTTGTCTGTGATGTTGAATGCCAGATGGAGCTCTTCAAGGAATTACTGTAAAGTAGTTTAATTGGAAATAGACATCTGTGTCAAGGTAATCATCAAAATGCTTACAGAAGGCGGTGAAATGTAAATTGTCTAAGTCTAAGATCATACCAATGGCTGGATTTAACACTTTGCCGTCACCTCTCGCTGATTGGCGATGTTTACCACCCAGTTTTTTTTAAATTTTCCCCTAAATGCCTTTGCCTTTGATGGCAAGGGTTTTACTATATGAGCTTTGTGATGGCAAAGTGTTAAGACTCTGATAAATGCCAAAGTGTGAAGTGGAATTTGTCGGGGTCTTGCATTCAGTGATAAATACAATCTCAATATTTCTAGATCTTTCGTTTAAACAATAAGCTTTAACTGGTATTTGGGTGTCCACCACATACTGCATTTTTGACTATTTTGTGTTGAAGATAATTTCATAATTGATGTGAATTGAAGATTGAGTTCTGGGAATATTTATTTTTGTGTGAATTTGGAACATTAATAATCATAATTCAAGTCAGGACAATAGGCAATCTAATTTTTTTAGTAGAATAATTAACTGATTGATGGGTTTTTAGTCCTGGACCTTGTTGATTCCCCCACTCCCCCCTCCCCGGAGACTACATATTTCTTTCGACTATGTGATATTTGTTTTATTATCTTACTTTGTTGTCTCCTACAATTTCTAACAGATTGCTCTTTGTATCTTGGGTGTATCTGACAAAAAGCTGCTCTGAAAAGTGTGTATGTGTGCGCATTTAAGAGATGAAACAGAATATATTTGTTTTGAGGCAATCAAGGAGACTTCATTTGTAATCTATTCATTAGAAAAATAAACTTCTTGTACTCGTGTGTCTCTTGACCTGAGGGTTGAAATTAAATGCTCCGTACAAGATTTTCTTAAATTAACTTTGTTGAACATTACAAAAGCGATATTTCTTTGATTGATACTTGAATGTTCCAGTTAAATTGTACTTTCTTTGTTCTTGATATTTAGTTCCGGAACCAAAGAAAATATTTCACCTCATTGTTGGATATTTTAATATCATATGCCTTCGTTTCATCAGTATTTGCACTTTAATGCTCTATGGGTTTGAAAGGCACAGAGTTAGAAAAACATTTCCTATTGCAATAAACAGTTTTCATGGCCCCACAAAATTTATGAACACGAATAAACACAATCATTCAAACTTATTCTTTACTCAGTGTAGTCAACCAATCTTTTGTCAATACTATATATTTGTCCTTTTTTAAGTTAGCTCCACTTTTAAAAATCTTGAGTCGAACAGTCAAATTGAATAAGATGATAGGACCTTTCCCCTTACCTTGATAAGTTTTGGTGACATTGAAAACACTGTTTTAGTGTTAAAATTTTTCAGATCAATACTGTATTTATATTATGTTGATGCACACTGCATATTGTAGCATATTTATCATATATTTATCCCACTTTTGAATAATGTACTGTTTAAATTAAGTAATTATTAACACCATATCATCCTATGAAACTTTTGCATGATACATCTTTCAAAACTGAGTCAACCAGTGATGTAATATGACCTAACCGCACCTTTGTTCTTTGATAAGATGTTTTGAGTTGTCATTGAAGTCTGAAAATTAGTGTCTGTAACTAATTTTTGTGAGAAGAATGCTTTGTTAGATAGTATACACGGGGTATTATTGCATATTTTAGAGATTAATATTACCCGAAGTACTAACATATTAGGTCTTTGAATTGCTTTATATAATAATGTTTAAACTGATTTTTGCAATTTTTGAAAAATGAATTAGGAAAACAGAATTAGAGAAAAAAGGAGTTTGTGAGAAAAGTTTTGGAAATTTTATAAAATAAAACATTGAATTAATATCTTTGGAGGGATTAAGTTAAAGGAATAAAATCTTTGGTTGTTATAATAGTTGGTAGGGACTTTAATCCTTAGCAGGTAAGCTAGAGGACTTGCCATCCTTTAAAATGTTGTTCGTCTGAAATAATACTTTTTTCTGTGTTTTTCCTTCCCAAAAGCATTATTTGTGTCGGTAATCTATTTTGCTGGTTGTGTTTCGGATTAAATATTCCTTATGGGATGTTCATAGATTAGTGTTCTCTTTCATCTCATGTCACTGCTGTGAGTACAATCTTAGAGATAGTTCTTTGTATTGCAGGACTGTTTCTTGAAGCTGTTCATTTTTCGGTATGTAATGTACAGAAACTGACTGTATTGCACTTTTATGTCTTTGAAGTCTACAAGTATGCTACAAGATCAGCTGGTTTTTCTGCAGGTGTCCTTAGTTAGAATCCTGAAAGGGACATTCTTGAACTTACTCGCTTTGGTGTTGAGAAATTTTCTTGATTTTTACCTCCAGGATAGGTTGTTTTGAAGATGGATGTTAAATCAGAAGGTGTGCTTCTAAAAATGTAAAAGTCTAAAAAGGTGTTGAACTTTTAGCAAACCATATATATTGATTCATGGTTTCATAAGTAAACATGGGAAATGTTAAAGTCTCCTTCAGAAATGTTTTCTATTGGATATAATATGACTTTGGATGCATTTATTTCTCGATATAACAATTATAAAGTTAACATTATGTATTATTATTATATGTGATGTGTATATTGATGTCTTTGTAGATTGGGTCATCGTGGGGTTTTTTGCCGTGCATATCTCCCTTGAGCTGTCAGTGCCAAAAAATGGCAATTTGTTGCTGTTAACCAGAGCATAGCATTTATTATAGACTGTGAAGGTATGGAGCCACCCATATATCGCTTGGGCTGATTTAACATTTTCAAAACATTTTATACTGTCCTTGCTTTGATTCAAGCACATGTGGTTTCATAAATGTCTAATCGCATGTTTGACTGTGATAGACATACATGCAGAGATACAAAGAAAAATTAGCTTAATTGTGGAATAAAATACAAACCACTCAATGAATAGGAAGAAATGCAAGTTTCATCCTTTAGGGTATTTGTAGATTTTTCCCATGTTCAGAAAATTGTGACACTCTAAACAGAAAAAGAGATGGGCTTTTTTCAGAAGTAAGCACCACTTTTGATGTAATGTTTTAACCATGCATTAAGACGCTTATGTGGCCTGCAAAGTCATAGACAATAGTCAAGAATGGCAGTTTGTTGCAGTGGCTACTGCGAATCATTATGTCTTTGCCCCTTTCCCGCAACCCTGTCCATGATTTTGCTCACATGTAGCAGTGAAAGATTTTGTTATTATGAGAAATATATTATTCAACCATAGTCACTCTCCTGAGAAGTTGTGCAGTTTCCTGATTGTTTTCAGTGTCTTGATACTAATTGCTGAATATTACACAAGAATATTATACTCATGGTTGGCTACATCTCACAGTGGTTCATACGTATGCATGTATCTACATCTGAATTTAGTTTCTGGAGGAATTTTAAGTCTTGTGCATGGCTTTTATAGGAAAACTTTTATCTCTGCTTAAGACATTATGAGTTCCTTTCATGTTTTACTATGCTATAGCCTACAGTGTCGGTTTTGAAACAAATGCTCTTATAGCTTATCTGGACTGCACAACTGGGTGTATTTTTCATAAAGTGCTTTTTGCCTGATGTTAAATTAAGTTTATTTTCTGTAGTAATATGTGGCATAGAACATATTCTCATCTCACATCCTTGTTTATGTCTTTGAATATAATGATTGCAAGCAAAGATTTTTTCTGTTGTGAGTTCATTTCCTTCAGGTGATTGTATTCATTTGAGTTGAAAGTGTAGTATCGTGCGTATGGGCTTGATGAACAGAAATACCTGTTCTGCTTAGATGATGAGATGGATATGCTGTTGTTAATGCTGTTATACGATTATGAGGTAGAAGTAGTAGTGCAAATTGTATTTTCTTCCAGTATTAAGCTGAGATGAAACTTGTATAATGCAGAGTAAATAAGTCAGTTGTTCCAGTTTCTGTTTTGCACCATTATCCCAATGAAGCATGGATAATTAAAAGAAATTTTTATCAGTGAAACAACATATTGCATTTATAAAGTCCTTGACTTGATACAAGTAAAATATAGTTAACGTACTAGATTGTCTGATGTAAAATGTGGTACCGTTCCACACAAAAAATGTGGGAAAAACTGAGTGTCAATGAAATCAGTCATAAGTTATTAATGTCTCTTGCATTTTACAGGTCTAATTTTTTTATGTGGTTAGTTTAGTGGAGGTAAGTCACTCTAATTATAAAGACATAGTTCCTTCATTCTCATTTTTATCTTCAAATTATCAACTGCAGTCACTGGTCATTAGTCACTACTTGTATTGATTGATGAAAGTTTACTATTCATCTGCTGTTTTAATTTGTAGTTTTTCAGTGTTACAGCTTTGCATGAGCAGTGTTGTGAAATGGGCTTTACTTCATCGTCATGAGCACATATCAAATGGTCAGAGAATTAATGATTTCGAGACAGATGTTTTGAATATATAGCTTTTATTTATATAAGAGAACTGGACTGAATTTTAGGAGCTGACTATGTTATTCATGATTGCGCCATGGGAGCTAAGTTGAGATGTTTCAACAATATTGAGTTGGATAGGAAAGTATATTGTAAGCAATATTGAGTTGGATAGGAAAGTATATTGTAAGCAGAGAAGGACATTCAGAGAAGACTCATGTGGGAGAGTCAAGTGCTACAGGTAGTACCGGGTGCCCATTATGGATGGGATCGGGTCGGGTTGGGTTGATCACCCGACTTGTCGTCTAAAAACAAAAGCGTTAGTTTGTCAGGAGATGAGTCAGGCGTGTTGGGCTTGTGCCACGGTAGCAGCTTTGCGTCCTCAATCTGGCTAGCAAATTGACCCGATGTGACCCCCCAATGGGCACCCCCACATAAGACTTTTTGTAAGATTTTTTTGGCATTGTGGTACATCCGTCCCTCTCTCATTTTGCATTCTCTTAGTTCTTTACTACACTATATTACTCTTTTTGTGTCCTTCTGGTTCTAATAATTTGAGTTATTGTAAAAATAATAAGCATTATGACCATCATATTGATTGCGTTTCTTTTCAAGTCTAAGGTGTGACTTATTTTGTTGGGTTTTTTTTGTCTTTTTTTGTTTTGAATCTCTCCAGCTCCCATTTCTATTATTAAACCTTTTAGTCTCATTTTCTTTTCCTTGGTCTTGATCAGCAAAACTGCATTACCTGTACTTGTATTTTTGATGAGGTAAGATGTACTGGTATCTGTGGTGTAGTGGTTCGGGGCTTTGTCATTGAATGCAGAGTGACCCATGTTCAATTCCTGTATGGGGAGAATTTTCCTTGTTTATCTTGGTCTGTCTTCTCTCTGTTGTATCCCTCTCAGCTCAGGTTGGCCCTGATGGGCAGGATCAAAGCCCGCCTCCTAAATAACCTGAATTGTGTCAATGGAGGAGTAAGAAAACCACTTTCAATAGAATTTTGTTTGTTTTTTTATGTATGTGAGATGAAATATGACCCAATAGTGCTAACCTTTTTTCCTCTGCAAGAGCCCTCAGCAATATGTTATTGTATTTGGCTGTGGAAAATTTCATGATGTATACATCCTCTTTTATTTATAATATATATAAGTAGGAGTAACAATAACGACTGTAAACACTGATTTTGTATGGCTTGATGTCGAAGCTTCTTGGAAACAGCAAACATGGTAACATTCCATTTAATTTTAATATTTGGTATATGTATTTCATTCGTGGATGGGGTTTTTGTGTAAAGCAATTTCTCTGGACGTAGATGTTTTTGAAGCAAACCTGGTTTTTGCCATTTTTAAGAACAATTTATTCTGTGTGTATTCCTTCTCTCAGCATAGGTCTATATACTGGTTTTGTTGGGGTTTTTTTTTTAGATAGTAATCTAAATCGAAATATAATATGCAGTAAACAGAAAACTATTTGTCATTGACCAGAAAGTTTTAAATTTTACATCAATGGTAACGAAACTCCATCACTTCTCTTTTTCCGGATTGAGTCATTCTCAGTCCTCATACTTTTACTTTTTTTGTGTGGAAAAACAAATGTTTCTTGTCAAAGATATCTCCAGGGATAAGTTCTTCTAATTTGTTGTAAAAATTGCGCTACAATTGTCCTACGCATGAACATCTTTAAGATATAGGCTATATCTCGTCTCATCTCAATTTATTATTAATTTTGTCTTTTTCCCCCCAATTGGGACTCGGAATACAATGCTAATAATTCTTTGAACATTTTTTGCAAGGTTTGATAGATTTGTTTAGTGATCTGAACTTTTTTCTCTTTCCTCTGTTGCCTCATCTTATGTTCTGGGTATTTAAGTTTGTAGTGATATTTAATAATAATAATTTATCTGTAAAATTTGTTAACATTGTGTTGTTTTTGCGCTCACCTAATTACACAGGTGCGTTGACCTGGACTTGGTCTCCTTTGTTCTTTCAGAGCTTCTTTCGTGATATAAAGACGAAATTTATCTTTTTTTTCATCATTTCATTTGCTGTGACTGACAAGGTTGTGAACATTATTTGCTTTTTAAAGTCTTTTGGGTCTGCGTACCAGTAACATTGTGTATTGTTCAATATATTTTCAAAGACTGCATTTATTTAAATATTTTCAAGGACTGTGTTATTGAGATTTACATAGTGTGTACTTGGTTAGATTCCTATCAGGTAAATTTATACACTGAAAAGTTTGTTGTAACGATGAAAACATTTTGTGGTCAACGTTTTGGGTGAGATCTTTGTTTTTCTCGTGTCTTTTATGTGCAGGTTGATTTAAGAATGTTGGAAAGAGCTCAGCTTAGTTTGTGCTGGGAATTTATAGGGGGGTGTTATTTATTTTGGGGTGGGAGGAAGGAATGAGGTTGACAGAGACATTGAAATGGTTAAATTTGATGAGGCTTCGTGCTTCTCATAGTATTCCACAAAGTTTCAAAAACTTTCTCATATCAGCTTTGCTATGAAATGAAAATTCTTGTTCCAAGGGAGGATACTGGTGAATATAATTTTGTCATCATAAAAAACATGACTTTGCATCCGGTATGAACTGAAGGTCAGTGCACAGATAATCCAGCCAGTAAAAGAAATTTTAAAAAGAGAAAGGTTAATTTTCATTTTATGTTCTTACCTTTCCTGTTGTTGTTTTTTTCTTGACAACAATATTTTATCTGCACATTAACTGCTTGTGTGCATATATGCTATGAGCATTGATCATAAATGGGTTTGCATAGAGATATTAGGCATACATATATATATGTCAATTCTGTATTTGTGATTTTAGTCAAATTGGGTGTCATTCACTGGGCAAAGTACTTACATTTAATCCCTTGGCTTTATGTATTTGTCTTGGTTATAATTCATATGAAGTGTTTTCTTGGGATTCAAGTTTTCAGAATCAAAATATTCTTTTGCAGATTTATAACTGCTGTCTTTTTTCAATAATTCAGTCCATTTGAGAAGGTAGAAATGACAAAGATGTTAACCCTATCTGTACGTCGTGTTTAACTATCGTATCCATATGACGTGGAGAACTCTGTGCCACCACTTTCTAAAGAGGAAATTTACTCGTTAATCCGAGCCGTGCGCTTTGCTTAGCATTCTATCAAGATGATTTTTTGAGAAATATTGAAAGTTTCAAAGAGATCTGCGTACTACAAATATTCTAAAATGTGAAGAATACAACCCCGGGGGTACAGAATGACCCCAGAGCGTATGGATAGGGTTAAATATGTAAATGTTTTCATTTACATATATTCAAGTGTTTTGAATAGCAGTTGTGAACTTTTGTCTTTTCCATTATAAATATAAAGGGATGAGGGAGATACTTTTTGTTGTATTCTTTTAGTTGACAATTTGAACAAGTTTGGCAGTAGGGGAAGAGTAGACCCTAATAAAAGCACTTAGATGTTATTAATCCAGGTATTATAATGTTTTGAAGGGATGTTTTTTTAAAACGCATCTCGTGTGGATGATAAGGAAGAATACTAACCACTTGTAAAGAAAATGATATTCACATATGTCAAAAAAACAAGTAGGCTATCTATTCAATGTGCAGGACTGCGCAGTCTTAATTAATATTGAAATCTTTTTTTAACTTTATGAAAGATTTGAATTATTATGGATCTTAACTGTTTTCGTTGGGTCTTGACCTCACGACTTCGAGGGTCATTAGATAGTGATGGTAATTTGTAGTCATAATATAAAAGTAAAGTAGAGGGGACAGTTTGAAAAAAATTGAATCTTTATTTGTTGCAATTTGTCCGTATGTTTACATGATATGTGTTATAATATATTGGTTGTTTTTTTTCCCCTAACCTGATTTGAGTCGCCTGTTTGTTCATAACAATGCATGTAACTTATTTTTGTTTTTTTTCTTTGCCTTTTTCTATGTGGTAATACTATAATCTTTCTTGTGGGGGGGGGGCGTGCCGTCAAAATAGCCACTACTATATCTAAAATTATATATGGTTTTTTTTTTGTGTGTTTTTTCCGTTTTATTTTTTTATCTTCTTTTCACGGCCTTACCAGCTCTTTCTCGTCTGCTCGCGGGGTGGGCCCCGCCCCCAAAAATAAAATAAAAAAAATAGGGGGGGTGTGGTGGTTAAAAAATTTTTTAATCTCTCTTGTGTTGGTCCCCGCCCTCGGGGGGGGGGGGGGGGGGGGAGGGGCATTGAGAACATTTAAGTAAACAACACTTCATTTCATCTGTGTTCATCATTTCATCGATGTGGGTGGTTGGCGGGTGCTCTGGTGTGGTTTGCTCCTTCTTTCTTATTAAATATAGGCCTACTGTGCCTACATTATATCGTCCTTATCTCTCCTCCTGTTTTGTGTTTGTTATTTACTTGTTACACACTTCTTATCTTCGGCGCTTATTAAAAGCTTATGACCTTATTGTGTTGCAAGTCCACAAAACTCTCACTAAAACTAAAATTTCATCGACTCCAGTCTCGGTTCCTTCCTGTCATCTTCAAATCTTTTCCTGATAACTTATAATCAATGTTGATGAAAGTTGTTTTTAAAGAACATAAGACTTTAAATTGAACAATACAATAGTACTGATGTCTTCTCGGGCGAGAAATTGAAGTTCAAACGCTATAAATTCAGTTCAGCATGGGTACTCGGAGAAGGATTTCACATCCTGGGAGGGGGGGGGCTACATCCCCAAAGTCCCGATTCGGCTCCAAATTATGGAATTTGAGTTGTAGGCATTATTAGCTTCCTCAGCTTCTCCTACAACTATTCCGTGGCATAAGAACCCCTAAAAGCCTTATTTTTCCCCATACCGGGCATGTTTGTCACCAATATTTCCTCATAAAGTCAATATTTTATTTTTCTTTATCAGCCGTTTTCTCAAAACGCGATTTTTCTCTATACAGTCCGCTCCCCCCTTGATTCCTCTTTAATTACCTGTATAAAACGGAAACCTGCCCAACGCGGAAACAGAAAGAAAAATCCCCTCCCTTCCGAGAGTTTCACCTGTCAAAGACGGAAAATGCTTTGCCCGCTCAATCTTGATTTGAAACAAAACTCGCAAGTTTGGTTCCGCCGGCTCTAAACTTAACACTATGGCTATGCCGCTGGGCGAGGAAGAGGAGTATGTGCAATTTGGGGGTAGATGTTACCCAAGGAGATTAGTTCTAAAGTCCTTGATGTTACCCCATGTGAGCCTTGAGCGATGCAGATGGTCAGTGTAGTGTGGGTGTGAAATCTCACGACTTCCCGTGAGAGTGCTCGAGTAGCGAGCCACTACGGAAACTTTCCTGAGTAGCCAGAAGCCAGAGGTGGGAAATTAATTAGATTGACCAATGCCTGTGCCGCCCTGATCATACGGCCAGCCGAGAAAAGAGTTCCTTGAATCGTTGTTACATGATGGCAGTGAGGGGTGGCATTGGTGGGTGGGGCTAAGGGTGGAACCAAAGGAGAGGTCAAACAGTGGTCCTATGAAAGGCAAGCACGGGTGGTAAGTGGATAAGTAAAACTGACGCCTGTCATTATCAGACAGGATAGCAATTGAGAGGTGTGAAGTTTTGACCACTGCTTGCCGATCAGACAAGCGATCCTTGATCCCACCGGCTGGGCCTTTGACCCCCCCCCCCCCCCTCAACCTCCATCTCCCTCTGAATTCCCCTGTCTGCGACGGGATTTTTTTCTGGCTCCCTTTCGATTCCGTCTTACACAGGTTTAACTGTACTTTTTTAAAAATAGCTCCACCATTTTTCTTCCAATCTTCATGAAATTTTCACAGAATGAAGAGAAGGATATATATATATATATATATATATATATATATATATATATATATATATATATATATATATATATATTAAAAAAAATAAAATTTTTGTGTGTCCGGAGTGGATTTTTACGGATTTTTCGCAAACTTAAATAGGCCTACTACCTCAGGAAAAAAATTCATTAAAATGTTCTGATTCGTTTAGGAAAAAAAAAACAGATACATTTTTAGATCTAACATGTTTGCTAACATGCAAGCAAAAAAACAATCAATTTCCATGAAAAATAAGTGCGGTATTCTTTGCGTAATACAAGTCAACAAAATCCAATATGGCCGCCGTATCCATGGAAACGAAACCTTTTTTTCTCAAATTTGATTTCGGATTTTAGAACTCCTTACTACGCTTGTTATATGTGCCAAATTTGGTAAAATTTGGTCCCCTAATAAGCGAGATAGCCTTCAGGTGTTGCCCCCCCCCTTTCCCCCAAAACGCAGCTCTTTACGGTAACTGCTGAGATCTATTAGATCTATATAAGCTTTTGGTTCCTTTGTTGAAGGCTTGGTACAAGGTGAGTCGGATTCAGAGTCAAGTCTCTTTTGTCGTAGGAGATCATAATTTTAAGCTTGCCTTGGTCGGAGGCCTTGCGAAAAGGTGCCGTACAGCTTTTGTCTAGTTTTCGCGTTTGGGCCCAGCCTTTGATTGCGATGATTATTCATACGGTCTACGTGCTTCATGGGGACCAAAATAATTAAGATTTCAAATGCCTGCATGTTGAACACGGAATTTCAACTCAACTGCACGGTACCATTCGTCGTTTTTGCGTTCATCGCGAGCCTCATCTGCGGCCGCACGGTGTAGCGTAAGGGAGAACGACGAATAATCAAATAGGCCTACAAACAATGCACCGGTACCAACGCGCAACTTTGTTTATAATTTTTTTTTTTTAATCGACGGGAACAATGCAGATTTTTAAAACAGGTTAAGAATGTCTTAACCAGATCTCTGCTGAATGATAGCTTAGGGCTAGAAACTGTAAAGCATTTGAGATAAAAACAAAAGAGTTAAAAAGTGAAAACGTTTTTTGCCTCTCTTGAAAAATTTGCCTGTTCTTCCTTCACGGGACCATTCGTCGTTTTCCTTGATGACAACAGAACAGTGTAAGATAGAGGGAGAGGGAGAGAGAGGGGGGAGGGAAAGGGAGATGGAGAGAGGGAGAGAGAGGGGGGGGAG